TCAGTGATTCTAGTGTGTCCTTGTCTCTGGATGGCTACTGGTGTTCTACCTTGGCTGTTCTAATGCTGTGATCCAATATGTCCGCTGCCCAGTTTGGCATTTTGTAGGTTTCGGGCCCATTGTCTAGCTCCTCTGGGGTTGGGTGTGTCTGAGTTGTAATGGCAGATATGGCACCATTGCTCTGCTCATAAACTACCGGTACCTCATGAGACCCAAGGCGCAAACAGCGCTGTGGCCGGCTGTATTCGCCCGCGTACCTGTCGAGGAAGTCTGACTCCAATATACCGTCATATGTCATATCCTGGCATAGATATAAGGTATGATGGTAGACACTGCGGGTATTAGTGAGTGCGATATCAACACAGCCCTTACCACGCATAACAGTACCGTTCGCCGCTTTAACATTAATTGATGACGCCACCAGATATGGCTCGAACGTCTTCTGCGGAAACTGTCCTGGATTGACTAATGAGCATCCAGCCCCCGTATCAACTAGGAAATGCATTAACCTATTGCATACACCTATAGATATAAAGGGTCGGGTGTCAGCACATGACGCATAAATGGCCGGACATGGGATATACGCGCCAGAGGACTTACCGAAACCAGGACCATCACGAGGTTTGACCATTGCAGATCCGCCGGATCGCCCAGGGCGTGGTCCTTGGAACGTTCTCCTTTGTTGCTGGTGCCAACGAGGGTTAGGCCGAGCCTGTGTCGACGGGGGGAACGGAGCGCACTCATACAACGCGGTGTCCTCAGAAAGAGCCCTCTCAACTTCGGCCAGAGGACGATTGAACAGCCTTGCATGACGCTTATATGCGTCTTTAGGCAGCCCCCTCAGAATGTGAGATACTGCCATCGCCTCCGGGCCAATCTCCTCGTACACCTTCTTCACCAAACTGTACACTTCTGCTGTGTAATCTAGGACATCCTCCCCTGGACGATAGCAACGACTTGCAAGTTTGTCCAGGTAGTTATCCGCGTTTTTCGAGAATTTTTTTTACTAACCTCTCTTTCAATTCTTCGTACGGGGTCTCCGGAGTACATTCACTCCAGTCTGCCCTGTACCTCGCTTTTTCAGACAAATTTACCAGCAGGCGATATGACCGTAATTGAGGAGAAACACCTCTGAGAAAGTCGTCCATGACGCAAAGCCACCTGTCAATGTTGTCATCAGTTTGAAATTCAGGTGGCTGTATCGCAGACTGGAATAACGGTGTGTCCTGTCCAAAAACATTGGCTGTTGCCGAAAGGTCGGGGTCCGAAGACGTCTTGCTGACGTTCTTGCTGCCACCATTTGTAGGTTTCGGGCCCATTGTAAGAACAAGAGTGAGAGGTAACGGATAACTTTACTAGACACAGAAAGCACTACAGTCTGGTCACAAACTGGTCGGTCCATACAGAGAAAACAGGGGCTTTATATATCCTTGTCCTGTTCCTCCTGTTCTCCCGTTGGTCCGTTTCGCGTCGCTACAATGGAGACGGAAAACTCGTGAGCGGATTGGCTTTCAGCCCCCGGCGCGTCATTCCATGCCCGCACGCCGCCACGCAGCTGGAAGTCGCACCACCGGTCACGTGACGTCACCTCCGCGCCGTGCTGACTACCATCACCAATGTGGCTGCCATCTGTCAGTCCGCTACAATTTCACGGCAAAGAGTGTTATGGGATAGATTGATTGCAGAGCAGCCTCCTGGATACTTGGAATGCGCACCGTTGGACAGATTGCGTCGACTGGGCAAATTGTGCGATGTGAGAATACTGGCAAGTTCACCCGACATCGAGTGTTAGTGTGAAATTGGACGAAAGAAGGCGACGAGGTGATGCCACACCGACTTGTGCCTGCCAGTCGTTTCTCCCACATCGAGGAGGCTGTGATGCACTGTGCTGGAGGCATTTTGAAGTGGCGGAGATGCAGTAGAGAGTAAGCGACGGCATTTTATGTGAGAGTGTGTGTTGTATCATTGTAGAAGCAGTTGTGGAATATGCGTACACAGGGCGGATCGAGATTAGCATGGACAGCGCTCTGTGCCTTTACATGTTGGCTACTAACCTCGGTTGCGTGACTGTTGCAACATGGTGCATTGAATATCTGAAGCCCGGGTTGGTTGATTTGATGAAAGCAAGGTAAATGCAGTTTCATTTTTGTACATTTAATCCTGCAACGAAGTCGACTGTATGGAACAGCGGCAATTTGGTTGAACTGCTGATGGCCTGGTATGTCACTCGAAGTGACATCAGGTGATAACTGATGGGTGCATTAGAGGCTTGAGTAGGATTGGCAGATGCGTGGAGGCCGAGATGCGAGTGCTAAGGAAGCAACGTGAACTAGAACTTACGTCATTCGTGGTGTATTGTTGGTGTAACTGCTTGAAAAATACGGACGCATTGTGGGAGAGAGTGGAAGGGAGGTGCTGAGGAAGGAAGGCCTTGAAGAAACTGTTGATGCAGGTCGAGTGATGGACTTCATGTGATTCACTAAAATGCAATGTGGATTGAGATGTGGCCAGATGACAGACAGACGAGGCTAAGGGGCGTGCGGTCAATCGACTTGGCAGTTGTGTGCAGGAGAGGAGAGGTTTGTGCACTGATTGGGGTGTTTCATAGTGTCTTTGCACTGGTTAAGGCTTTTTGCTGCGTCGCTGTCTACGCAGTAAATTCGCGTTTTAATTATTTGTTCATTGAAAGGCTAAGTGAAATGCTTGCTGTGTAATCCATTGCAGAATTTGCCGAGACAACGTTGTTGACATCTGGTTAATTGGTATTGCAACCAGGAACACAGACATGCTAAGCATTTGTGTGCCTTTAATTGCTGACAACTTCGAAAGCGTTGTGTCTTTGCTGCCGAGTCGTTATTCCTTGTCAGAACTGGAAATTCTGGCCACCGTGCTGGGAGATAGTCAACTGACTGGTGTGCCCGCATGCTGGAAGTTGCGAGCGATAGTAATGTAGCTTGGAAGTGAAAGCAAAGCGACGGAGGACAAGGAGGAGGAAGACGAAGAGGTGGATGACGGAGCTCGTGTGGACATCTTGAAAGATGTCATTGCGTCTATCGACCTGAGCACAATTTCTGAGGAGGATTTCATCGGTTTGACCACATCCGATTGTTGGATGAACCTCTCGAAGGAATGTAGGTAAGCTTTCGTGATGGACATTTCAATCCATGCGGCCTCAATCGCATGTTGTATCTACATGAATTGGGCATAGTAAATGTTTACTGTGTTGTGGTTCTTCGTTTTGCTATACGAATAGAGACGTGATAGTGATTGCGTGGAAGGCGTCACGTGTAAAGTGGGTGTACCTGTGTACAAAAAGCCACTGCGGCGGCCAAAATTAGAACTAACAAGAAACAATATAGATAATAACCCGTCACATCCCGATAAGAGAGAAGACAGAGTCGACAGAGAAAACGACTGTTTGTTCGCGTCACGAC